TTTTTCCTTTTTTTTATGGTCATTTCCAATGTTATTAACGGGAAATACATCCTTCTCACAATTATTTGGTCTCTGATAATTATTTGGTCAACTGTACATACAAAATGTCATATATTTAGATTTGCTTGGTTATCGTAACCTTACAAAGTTTCAACACTCAAAAAGTTGGTGTATTGCGAATTTTGATCTTGTTATTAAAAATTCGATTAACACTTTCACAACCCAAAACTTTTTTTTAAAAAGAATAATAAGTTAAAAAGAAATTGTCCAAATCATTTTTTATTATTATTTTTATTCCAAAACCCCTTTCTAACCCAAACCGGCCAATAGTCAGTTTTATTTTACTTAAAATAATTAACAAATGAGAACTCAATTACCTAAGATTGATCAAAAATAATCTTTTTGGATGAAATTTTATATCACTTTATCGTGTTTCAACATTTAATATAAAAACTCTACATCATCAATCCAATTTTGAAAAACAGTGTCAAATAGTCACATTAACAAATATAACTACTTTAAAAACACTATTTACATTATAATAATATATAACAATATACTTTTTTTAAAACAACCAAATATATCAAACCATCATTAGACTCCATTTTTCTTTCTAATGCTTTGTTCTTGTTTAACACAAATAAACTCATTCATGTTTATTTGTGTGACTATAAAATATACAATTCAAATTTGAGTTGATAAAAAAATAAATAAAAAATTTCAAAAATTTGTTTTGTGTATGAAGGCAAAAAAAGGGTTTAGGTAAAAGACAAAAATAAAAACTTATTATTATTACGTTTCTGTTTTGAACGTGTTAAAAATGTTTTAAAAAATTATTTAAAAAATGTTTTTATTTATTTTATTTGAACCTTTTTGATATTATTATAATTATAATTTCTATTTTTTCAAATATAATAAAAATTTATTGTAATTATAGTTTTTTAAAACGTTATTGTTAATTAACAATATTCATAAAAAATATAATATTTTATTATTTTTTTTAATTAAAAAAATACGAATTATACAGATTGTATAAAAAGTGTGTAGTTAATTATTTATATTGCCTTTAAGATATTTAATTTTTTTAATTATTTTTGATTTTAATTAATAATTTAAATAATAACACCAATAACAACCAATAAATTATTTACTATCAATTTACGAATTCGATTTAATTTATTTACCTTAAATAAAATTAAGAATAGTAATATTATAATTATTAAATTAAAACAAATTGTATATTATTTATTGTCATTTTTTAAGTTAATTTATTTGTTTTTTATAAGTGAAAAAAAAATGTCCCGATTTATACCTGTTTAATACTATAATATATAAAT